TCATTTAAGTGTAATTTATCAAACTGTATTCAAGGCATGTGCATTGTTCCACGGTCTGAAAGCATTACTTGAATTTCCATAGATATTTAATAAGCTGCTTAAAATAATTCACGTCGGCAACCCAATGAGAGATGTGCCACGGCCGAGTCATAAAACTGTGGTCTGAATACTTTCACCCTGGCATCATTGCCTCATCTCTTCAGACAATAAACATCTCAACACAAGCTACATCCAGTCCAAAATGCTTTATTCTTCTCTTAGATTTTCTGTCCTCAATTTTCAATGATCAAGTATTCAAGATGTTGTAAACCGAGGTTTATTAGTAACAATGACAATAGATTTTTTTTTGACAACAGATTTGATTAAGCACAAGGAAATCATACACTTTCAAGTTACCCTATGAGGGCCCCAAATAAATACTCATGTTAAAAATCACAAAAGGAAAACCCTTGCTGTAACAACTGGAAACAGCCTTCCATCACAATCACACCTCTACACACACAGGCACAAATGCACGCAGCACACTCCACTAAGATGTAGTGTCCACCTGCTTGACACGGTCATTATTACATTTGCATCTCCTTAAACTGTGAGGGGCTCACCCTCCCGCTTCATGCTTCTAGACCAACATCTGGGACTTTGAATAGAGGTATGTATTTTGAGAAAAATGCCCACTATCAAATCTTATAAACCAACGATTCTTTTCCTTCATTTGCTGTAGCTACAAACTGAGAACAACTTCCGTTCACCCCTTTGGTTTAATGTGTCCCTGCAGTTTACTTTTTGAGAATATGTCCTTCAACTTTAACCTAAGAGTAGAATACCACAAACCCTTAATGATAAAGATATATTACACGGGTATCAGCGTTTTGGAGAAGAAATAAGAAAAACCTTTCTGAAATCTTTTATTTCCTTCTAAAATTATTTTCGCATCTAATCATTCTTGCTAAAGCAAATATCACAAGCGCCGTTTTCCCTAGAAAAGTGTCCCCTGCAAGCCCGCCTTGTTGCAGTGTGGAGTTCAGGAATGGACTGGTGAAATGAGGAGCAGTGGATACTCATCTTCCAGGAAATTCTCCAGATTCACAAATGAAGAGCCCACGCAGCCCCTCACCACCATGACCCTGTGACCCCAGTGGTAAGCAGGCATTGTTCCATGTTTCTAGCACCAGGCTTGCTTTTTTTTTTTTCAGTTTTGCAAAAGCAAATCACTAAAGAGAATTTTCACCAGATTTGACCCTTACTATGAGGGAGTAAAAATGAAGAGCTCAAAACAAACCTCTTCAACCATACACAGGGCTAATTCCAACAGAACATGAAGTCTGGGACAGATACAGCCAGCAGCATCATGGAAGATGAAAAGAAAAAAAGAAAAGATAAAGTGCACAGGGCAACTAACCTCGCGTGCCAGACACACACGTCGTGACCATGGAAGAGGAAACACAGATTCGTGAGCAGACCACAGACTCTGGTCTGTGTAACAGAACTAGCAGACCCGCAGTGCAGGAAGGCTGGGCTGCTACAGTCTGTTTTCCATGTGCTACTTGGAATACACAGTGTGCACCTATGTATATGTAGTGTATGCATGGCCTGTGTCGTGTGGGGTGTAGGAAGCACACACACAATCCCAGAGTGTAACTGGTACCAGCCTGGGTTGGGGCTTGCCTCTTCTAGGCACACTAGAGAATCCCACAAATGCCTCAGATCCCTTCAAACCATCAAGCTTCTCTTTGGTGCACAAAACGATGCTACAAAACAGGCTCCAAAAAGAAACTCCTGGTCCACCAATGTATGCAATTTGGAACTGCAGACTGAAGGATTTTCTTGGTGATTGGTGACAATGTAGGACAGTCCCTCCCACCTCCGCCAGGTCACTTCTACCTCTGAAGGCTGACGCTTGAAATGCCACAGCTGCTGAGGGTAACAACTAGGTCAGTGGTTAGATATGGAGTGTGTCTATGTTCATTTAAAATTTTTATTAAGAATCTTAAAATTTATATCACAATAACACCAATGAATGTGTTACTATTTGGAAAGGAAAAAAAATACACCTGAAATCCCTCAGATTCAACAACTACTTATCCTCATTCTGTTTGCTTTTAGCAACTCTACTGCCACTCCAGTGTTCATGTCAGAATTGGATTTGTTCTATGCTAAATTATGAGCTATGAATATATACCTGAGGCAAGTTACGACAAATGATTTTTAATGTAACATTTGGCTAACTAAATGTAAATTTACCTTGAAAATCTAATTCAACAAATGCAGATGTTCCTTACAGCCTTTTTCCTATTTACACAAAGGAATCATAAGCTCTGTGTGCTTCAGAAAGAGTAATACATCCAAACATGAAACGCCTTAACGTCACCAGCTACCATCACATCCTGCTTTCTTGTTACTCAAACCTCTCAAGATGCACTGGGCAGTGTAATGAGGGAATAACGCAGCTGGAGAAAGTCTCATCCGCTGCTGACTTGACCATTCTTTGCAATTCTACACAAGTTGTTTTATCTCTCCTGGCCCCAGTTGCTTATATCAGGACAATGAAATACGTGCAAGGTTATTAAATGGGTTAAAATGATGTATATTTAGTGCTTAATACTCTGCACTCAGTACTCAAGAAACACTCAACTCTTCTCTACTTTCTTGCCCCTCCACCGACACTTTTGAGTGTATGGTTCAATCATTGAATCCACCTGCAAAAACAAGGATTTCTTGCTAATGGAGATAACCCAGCAGGTGTGCTCCAGCCATCTCACCCACCCTCTCGGAGCTGGCCAAGCAGGAGGCTGGACTCAAGGACACTATGGTTTTATATTAAAACCAAACAATACATTGAGTTACAGGGTTTCTAAAGGGAGCAGGTGATCTTTTGCCAAATAATCCAAAGCCAACACTCCTGGATAGTGGCAATAAAAAAAAAATGGTTGTGACTAGAAAATAACATGGTTGATTTATTGACAAACATGGAAAGACCTTGTATATACAATCTACTTATATCATCTATGAAACAGTCACTCTAGTTGGTTGCCATATTGCAGCGCTTCTGCCAGAGCCCAAAGCATTTCAGGGACAACTATTAACTGGTACATATTCCAAAAATTTCATTCCCTCATGATTTTTACTACTTATCTGACATTCACCCACATTAGTGATACACCTGCTATTTCTAATTATTGAATACTAGAGGAAGTACAATGTTAACACTGCGGCACACATTTCAGACCATTTTCTTTGGGTTCTGGCCTAATCATCCTGAAGAATTTCAAAAAATGACAGATAATCAGGCAAAATTGTATTGGATAACTGGTGCATTATCGTTGACTGCAGACACAGATGACTGTGTAAGGCAGAGAGGAAGATAGAGGAAGGCTCTCTGATTGCAGCAATCTTAGCTCTCCGAGTCAAGGCCACCAAAAACCCTCTTAGCCCACTGGCTTGACAATCAGAGCAAAATGAGGAAAGCATCACTTGTTCCCTACCTCTAGATCTTCAGTTCAAACAACACAGGAAACTCCTGAAGGATGAAGATTCCCCAACAAGGGCAAGGAGGAGCTCAAAGGTCTCACTGTAGATATTAGGTCAATCAGAAGTGTCTACTCAACACCCTTGGTGTACAGCACTTTGCCAGTGTTTGACAAATAGCAGTACACTCACATTTGTAGCTAAGCAAGAACGTAAACCACTACAAGAACCAGAAACCAAAGACCCAAAGGGAAGTGCTTGTCCTCTGGAACGACAAACTTCACCTTTTACAGACATAAGTCAATGTGATAGCGACAGCCATCACCACAAACTACATACCACCAACAGAACTCCTTAATCATTTTCAGGTAGAGACAAGATGACCATGGGCTCAGGAATACTCAAATGATTCCAGCTGTACAGCCCAGCAAAGACGGAAGGCAAAGGCGAGAATCGCCAGGCAGCCTGGCATGCAGATCTCTTGCATGACAGAGTACAAACCAGATGAGGAAATCTGACCCAAATTAGTTGTACATGAGCATAGACTGCTGGGCAGAAATCAGTCATGATCCTATCAGTATTTGGACCTTCCAATCTGTCAGAGGCAGATCCCATAAAGTTACCCACTGTCACTCACAATTCTAAACACCTTGTAGAAACCATTCTGTGACGCCTAAGTGACGTGCTGGGAGGTTCCGATGTATGATTGATAGTAAACCCAGAGTGATTTAGCAGCAGAAAAATCCTCTCACAACCACTTTGAAAAGATGACAATAGGAGGGGCTCAAACAAGCGTGATCAGCAATTCTCTGCTCAAGTAGGACACACCAGTTTATTTTACAGCATTTTGTCATCACTTAGGACCAGGCGCTAGGTTCACCTTACAGATCTCCCTCCTCTTGCATTCAAAGTGATTTTTACAACCCAAGGTCAACTGCTTTAATTACTCATTTTCAGAAGCAATCCTAGCAATTTTCTGTATGAAAAGAAAAAAAAAAGAACACAGCACAGATTTGCCATTGCTTTCAAGATATAAGTCAAATGTTCAGATGCCATCTGAACTTCTGACTCTGCAACTTATCATTCCAATCACTTTGACTGTGACGGGGACGATTCCTAGCTCTCCTCAAGAGCTAAAGAAATGTTTGCAACAATTTCCTTGTTGAGAAAGCCATCTGTTTCTTTCTGTATTTGCATCTTAAAGTACAGTTTCTAGCCATACTGTGTAGCACAAAGGTTTTAAAGCCCCTTACGAAAGAATACTGGAGTTTATATTCAAGCTATTATTCATGATTTGCAGCCTTTTCAACTACTTATGGTGGGGTGGAAACTAAAACAGAATGTGTCTAATGAAATGATGTTATTCCGCCCCCTAGCAGGTTATGCACACGATCTCTGTGTGGCATTTTCAAAGTTCTATTTGATTGAAAACTCTGCTATGGCTTCAAAGGCTACTAACTATATTTCAGGGAAAGCTTTGCTTTCTCTGTTCAAAAACACATCTTCACTATTCTCAGAAAGCTGAAGTAACATGCTGACCTGACATATTTCTGATCAAATTGCATAGTTGAGGCAAGTTCATTTGTGCTTTGTAGCAGAACTCACAGTAGGTGTTCATATCTAAAAACTTGGATTGGTAAAAATCATGGTCAAGTTCACCCTAGGAGTGTATGCTAAGGAAACACACCATCATTATCCTTCTTTGAGTAGGTTAACCATGAACCTCAGCCTTATACCCTACTGGAGCATGCGCATCAGGCTGACAGAGCAGAAATGCTAACCAATTTTAGCTCAATTCCTCCTCCTCGGAGAAGAGCCAGAGGCTGATGGTCTTGATGAGGTATGTAGCCCTCCATCATTAATGGGTGAGCTACATTGTTTTGTTGGTTTGAGGATTGTGTCTGTAGAGGTTAAAAAAGAAAGAGAAGAAGGCACGGGTGTTTCTCAAGTCGCCATGTTCAACTCAACCAACAAAACCAAAGTCTTCATTTCCAAGCTTTCAGAGGGAGCTACAATGCAGCAGGCCTGGCTCCGAGCCCCGGGTCTACACAGGAGCTTATTGCTTCCGGGAAGGGTCCCGGATAGGTCTGTGCTGTGTAGGGGATGCCTCGTTGCAGAGCTGCCTCTTCGTTGAGTTCTCCCAGGATGCTGAAAGCAGGACACGATCTCGTCCGGGCCTCTTTCTCTGCACTGTCCGGCTGGCCCACCAGCTCACTCACAGTGCTCAGCGGGCGCTCCCGGCGCCTCGGCCTCTGTCGCTCCTCCTCCTTGTACTTGATGGAGTACCAGGCGAGAAAAATAAAGATGAAGCCGACAAATTTGAGGCCAGCCGCCAAACCAAAATAGACGAAACGAAACGATGTCACGTTGTACTCCCAGCAAGATCCCTGCACCCCGCATTCCTGCTGCCAGAGCATACAGGTGGTGTCGATGACTGCGCCAAAGTAAATGGGAGTAGGAATGTACGCTAGAGTCGTGGAGAAAAAGAAGAGCATATATGAAGAGTCAAAACATCCTAGAGGAGAAAGTAGACTGACGAATGAGCAAGGCGTACTCTAGCACCAGCAGACAGGAGCGATTTCCTTATATGAGTTTTTTAAAGATAGGTCACCTCTTATCATCGTGCATTTATTATCACTCACTGAATGATAAACGCTTGAAAATCTTGCAATTTGCAATTCAGAACAAGTTAATGATTTTAGTAAGGAAAGTGTCTATTATCTGTAAATGCACATCAAACCACCACAGGTACCTTTTAGATAGATACAATTATATTTGTTCATGATACTTCAATAATAAAAATGCAATTAAAGAACCTTTTAATTCTTAATGAAATTGTACACCAAGTCCGTAAGAGCTGTACTGGAACCATTATTGCCACCACAGTTCAGTGCCTTGGGTTCTTATGGGTTGAGTTCTAGTCCCTAGATGTACAAAGAACATGTGGACAGCCTTGTCTCCAATTATAACACCAAGCTGCAGCTTTATCAAGGCATTTTGAGGTGTGGAGGTGATTATGGCTTCAGAGTCATCTCTGAAGGTTCAGAAACACCAGGAGATGGACAGTAGCTTTATTTTTTTAAATATGTATTTACCTGAAAGGCAAAGACACAGAAAGACAAACAGATGGAGAGCTCCCATCTGCCAGGTCGTTCTCCAAATGCCATCAGCAACCAAGGCTGAGCCACACCAAAGAGGGAACTTGAAATTCACCCTGGGTCTCCCGCATTAGTCACAGGGACCCAAGGACGCCAAGGGTGTTGACAAGCAGAAAGCTGGTGTCAGGAGCTGGAGGTGCATACCGAACCCAGATACTCAAATACAAGACACAGCTATTATAATCAGCCTCTTAACCCCAACCAGGCTCCCATCCCTAAGCATTTCTTCAGCCTCATGAAAAAATCTACCAAATAAATAAATAAATAAAAGAAAGAAAGAAAAAAAAAAAAGAAAATCTACCTAGTAAAAGTCCTTCCTAACTCAATCAGCTGCTAGTCTACACACACTGAGATTCAGACACACCTCCTTGTATTAATAATTAATTGCACAGTGTTTAAGCTGTTTGCCTCTCAGGTCCTTCATGGGACGGGCTATGCCTTTTTGTCCTTTGCAACACAGGACCTGTTGAGAATGGCTTATGGTCATGAACAAGACTGTGTAGAAGGAGGTGATGGATGAGGACCAGGAGGCATGGAAGCGAGGAAAGAGGATGATGGACCCCAGCCCAGGAGGTCAGGATATCTCTTCAAATAAGTTGTATTTATTTAAAAAAGAAGACCATCAATACAGTTAAATTTTAACATTATTAAAGCACTTTTGCTTTCGAATTTGGGAATTTGTTGGCCTACCTATACTTCTCACAATCAATGGAAGTTAAGATCATGTTGAATTAAATAATGAAAGCTCTCCTCCCACTACTTCCTGCTATGGCAGCATTCACCTGCTGGCTTATCTCTATCTTCTTTATCTTCAAATCCCCATCAAATCACCCTAACTCCACAACAATTCTTCCAGCAAACCAACAAACATCCTTTTTGTTATAGAGTGCAGCCAGTGATAGCCAGCACCCATTGATAATGAGCAAATGAAATTTGGCTGTGTCCCCTACCCTCTGTCCCGAAGGTGGGCCCTAACAGCAATGGAATGTTAATTCCATCCTCAACCACTCCCTCCACATCCTAATTTAGCCAGGATATTGGATGCAGATAAGTCCAATTACTCTAGGTGTTTTTACCCAGTTCCTGTTGCTGCCCATCCCAACAGCAATAATCCCCTCCTTAGCCCACAACACTTAGGTATTCGCTTCTGCCCACCTGACTCGCCTATCATCTGAGAGGGGATGGGATTGCATTATTGTGTAAGCACTCCCCTCACAAGCCCCTTTAAAAGGCCCATGAAGTGGGGGCTGTCGCTCTCTCTCTTTCTGGTCAGGTGCTTCCATTACTCTGGCACCTCGACCTTTGGCTGACCCAGGACAGGTAATCCCCTGTGCATGGTCCCTGTGTACTGCTTAGATTGGACAATGGATATAGTAATGTTGTTTCTGGTTTATGTACTATCAGGAGTTCCAGGAGAGCTAAGGCCAGGCAGTAGTGGAATGTGGGTAGAGAAGCCAGGGAAAGGTGAATGTCTGCAGCTTTGTAAGTGTGTCCAGGTTATTCGCTGCATGTCTCTTAGGATGATTTATATTGTTGGGGAAGCTGGGACACAGGTCTTCAGCTTAATGGATAGACTTAAGGGTAATGACCATTTGTTCCTCTTTGGATTATGTTTGGTAGGATTATGATTGGTTGGATTGCCATATGGACTTGTGATTTGCTATTTCTAGTATACTCTATTATCACCAAGCTTGGTTTATAAAGACTCCTTAATAAATCTTAGGCATGTCTGTCTGGTGTGATCTCACTCACACCCTGCAACACTTTTCTTTTCTGTTTAATAATTGTTTGGGTTCACAAATTTCCATTTTGACATGGTACTTATTACTTTCAAATAACAACTATCTAAGTGTAGGCCCGGTGGCATGGCCTAGTGGCTAAAGGCCTCGCCTTGAATGCTCTGGGATCCCATATGGGTGCCGGTTCTAATACCAGTAGCTCCACTTCCCATCCACCTCCCTGCTTGTGGCCAGGGAAGGCAATCGAAGATGGCCCAGTGCCTTGGGACCCTGCACCCATGTGGGAGACCTGGAAGAAGTTCCTGGGTCCTGGCTTCGGATCGGCACAGCACCGGCCGTTGTGGTCACTTGGGGAGTGAATCATCGGATGGAAGATCTTCCCCTCTATCTCTCCTCCTCTCTGTATATCTGACTTTGTAATAAAAATGAATAAATTTTTTTTAAAAAAAGAGATTTCTAAGTGTGTCAAAAATTCTAAAACAAGCATGCTTCCAAATATTGCTCCTTCAAAATATTACTGGTACCAAAATAGAGGCCTCCCATGAAATGACACTGGAAATATTTTCCTCTGGGGCTTAATGGAAATGTTTCCGGAGAACTGAGCCATCAGTCACAGCGCAGAACAAACATAATGAGAATTCCAGAGAGGATTAATACTTCAAAGGGTTGGAGAAGGCCATTTTAAAAATATGTTCATCTTCAAAAGTGAAAGCACTGAATTTTTTAAAAAAATTAATTTTTTTCCTCTGTTGACAATGTCACTGATTAGGGGAAGTGGGAAAGAGGGGAAGGAACTAAGATAGCAGGTGCAGAAAATGACACTTTAAGGAAAAACAAACTTGATGATGAGGAAATCAATTAACACACTAGAATTGGTTAAGGGAATCAGTTACTTCACAGGTTTAATTGCCGTTCATTGTCCTAACACTTTGTAGGACAGAGTACTGGTAAAAGAGAGAGGGAGAGACAGAGAGAGAGGAAGCAAGAAGTGGGTGGGTACATTTAACAAAGTGGTAAGACTCCAGCTGAGATAATGCAGCCCAGAGGACCTTAATTCTAGGCCCAGTTCTGGCTCCAGCTTCATGCTAATCCTGACCCTGGGAAGCAGCCTGGATTGTCAACAGATCCTGGCTCCCAGGTTTAGACTGACCCAGTCCCAAATGTTGTAGGCAAACTCTATTTCTCCTCTCTCATAGATAAAAGTGACCAAATTGTTTAAAATAAGAATGGTATTCTTCCTACGCCATGGATTTGCACACTGATGCAGCACTAATGAGCTTCTCCTACTAAGTCACAATCGGCAGCCCAGCATGGGGATCGTTTTTTCTTATTTGAATTCTTTTTTTTTTTCCCAAAAAACCTGGTAGCTAGACTTTTTTGCTTCGACCAATAAATTACTAGAAGCAAGTAAAAAATTGAAGATCCCATAAGACAATCAATGACAATCAATCACGAGTCTTCTGTTTTAGTGCTAAAAAGCATAAAGACACCGAAGTATCAAGAGAACAAACTCACTTCAAATTTCTTGTTGTCCTGTTTCTTATTGTACAAAACTCTGGGAAACTTTGCTCAAGTGTGTGTTCACAGTAAAACAGAAAGTAACCAGTTGGTTTCGTTTTCTCTCATCCAAGGTCGACACTTGTCAACTTGTTGTTCACATCAGAAAACAAGGAAGTCGTGTGCTCATCCCCAAACTGTAAAATGCTAGCTCCCAGTGATGACAAAGGACTTGACATGCGATTGTTAAAAGACAGGGAGAATTTGCCTTCCTCAAAGAGGAATGCGAAGCCACCCTTGGAAATTCAGATACATACCAAGTGTCCGCAACAAAACAAACTGCATTCCCAGTGCAAAAGGTCTCTCATCATCTTCCACAGATCTACAGTAAAGGGAGAGAAAGATTTTAAAACAGTGGACCCAAGAAAACGAATATGGAATCAAGCCTACATAATGCAGAGCTGGAAACTAAAGGAAAGCTGTAGCCAAACGTTTAACCACTAGAATTTACTGACCAGAATCAAGCAAGGTGGCAGGATAAAGGTGTGACCAACTGAGACGTCGGGAAACACTGACTGATGCTATTGATCTCTGTAAAGCCTGGTAGAGGTCAAAGGCGCTTGTCAGAAAACACAGCTGGGGCTCTAAGTTCCCCAAAGCAGTTCTATTTTTTTGTTTAATTCTTGTAATGTTATCCCCACAACTGCATTTTTTTCTTGTGTTCAGTTTCCAGAATGATGCATAGTACACTGAAATGACTTCCCTATTTCCTCAACTGGACAAAAATTAAAAAAAAAAAAAGCAGAAAATGCAAAACCACAAGTCAAAAGTCCAAGAAAGAATAAGTCCTTCTCAGACCCCTGTAATTTCTTTTTCTAAACATTCAGTTTTGAGTAATCCCTACATGGCTGGAAGATGGGAGCCCAGTCACCCGTCTTTCCAAATGTTTGAATGAGAAGCCAACTGATGGTTTGATTCATGTGAGCACTACAAACTGTGGCCTTCTTTGGGTCACTTAGTTTCTCTTGTAGAATTAATCTGTAAAGAAATTGGACTATTGCAGTGAGCGACTCTATTAATGCTTCTTGTACTTCTCAAATGAGGAAGTCCTTATTCTCTCTGAGCCACAACCATCAGTGTCGGTGTACAGAATGGAAAATCCCCCAGCCTCAGTGTCCTTGTCTTCGTCTCCTCAACTCCTCGATGTATCATAGGAATCTGTCCAGTGTTACACATGTGGTAAAGTCCTAAATACCCACTAGTGTAGGAACTGAGTGAATTATCCAGTGGGTTTTTCAGTGGCTAGCGTCTTGCATTCCAAGAGCAGCTTTGCTGAGAAATATCTAACTCTGAATCTAATAGGAAAGAAATCGGGATATGCATGGCATGTACATTGCCCTGCTCAGCACTGCTCAGCACTGTGGAATTCTAAAAAGCCAAAAGAAAAGATTAGACTTGAGACCCTTTTTCATTCCCTCATTGCACTGTGTCCATGGTCTCCCTAAAGATACCATGTTCCTGCTTCACCTCACAGCCTCTTCTTCTGCCACTGAAGGCTTTTCTGCAAAACACTGATTCAAAAGTGATCATGTCAACACTTCTTAGGGAATAAAAACAGCTTCCACATACCAAAAACCCCAAACTCGATGGCAAAGGGGACACAGCGTGCATAACAGAAAATCACCTCTCCTGGTCTACTCTTTCTTTGAATCAATGGCAAAATGTCATGTGATAGAAAAAGGAATGCTGACTGCATCTGCACTGCAGGCCCAGCATAAGCTGTCATGGAGGTACAGTGAGAACAACGTACAAGACTGGAGATAGCAGCCTTTGTGGCAGGCACATCTTAGTAACTTCACCAAATGACTCTGTCTGCTCCTATGAGCCTAGCCTGTCATTCCTAGCACAGCAATGCTTTTCAGCTCCAGAAGCTGAACCTTGTAGGACAGAAAATACAAAAACCAAAAGCATCCAAATGAAGTCTCATTTAACTATAGGAGCAGAACCTAATGCAGAAAAGTTCTAGAAGATAAATGCTACAAATATCCTTTTTGTAATTCTATGAATGACATCTTCTTTTCCTTTTCACATTCTAACAAAAGCTAACTGGGCATCTTGTAACTAATCAAGTTTTGTGTTCACAATGGATGCTGCCTTAAGGATCTGACCCCAGTTAAGAAAGGAAATTGCAGCCACCTGCCCAAACCGCCAAGCTTCCTGCTCATGAAGACCCCATCTGAGTGACATCAGGATGCCCAGTCACCCCTGAAACCTGTCTGACTGGCTTTCCTAACCTCGGAGCGCCTGGTTTCTGGCTAATTAGCAAATGTGAAAGACAATTGTGAGACTAAAGTTATCTGCTTCTCCCCCTAAAACATTGTCCTTTTGCACCAACTCTCATTTCCGGTGAATCAGCTATCTTAGTATTAAACAGCCCCAGCCTAATTCAGAAGGCATCGCTCTCTCTCCCTGCTAGGAAAAACCTCACTGTTTGAAAATTTCCCTAACAAATGTCTGAGCACTCCCCATACAACTCGGTCATGCTCCTTCTCTGCTCTACCTCTTGGGTCCACATTCTGGAATTTTCCCTCTGGCAGTTCTAAGCCTACCCCCCAGCCAGACATCAGATGCTGTTCTCACCTGAGTGTTACTATGATGGCTGATGGCTGGGCACACGCTGTGATGAAGGTGACTATAAAAAGGAAAACTAAGAAGGGGATAAGGGTATTGCAGGTGCGTTTACACTTTCCAGACACAGCATAGCCATTTTCATTGAGATAGGTTTTGACAATAACCACACGGAGCTGACCGCGTTGTCCCACGGTGGGTGGAGTGATCACTTGTCGGCTTTGGACACAGGTGCATTCTGTGTAATTCCGGATCTATGTGAGCAAACGAAAAGTTAGTGGTGTGCCAACCAAAAGTAAAATGGAATATTCAGACACAGTTAGGATGTTCTAAGAAAATCCAGGTACCTAAAAAAGTAAGCAACATTTCACTGAGAACACCTTCCTCACTGATAACAGAAACAGTTTAATGTGTGCATACTAACAATGTCAAAATCTGACGGTCAAAACTACTTAACTCTATATTTGTCCAAAAATGTTTGAATACTCATATCATTCACACTGCATTGCTCTCCAATTAGAGAAATCCTTCAAAAACTGGGACACAGTAGTGGAGTCTGGACCCAACAACTGAGACACCATTGGGATGCCCATGTTCCTTAAAGGAGTGCCTGATCCAAGTCCTAGCTACCCAACTTCACAGCCAGCTTCCTACTAATATGTTCCCAGAGAGTTAGAAGGCAATGCCTCTAACATCTGGGTTCCTGTCACCCATCTGGCAGCCCCTGATTGAGTTCTGGACTCCGGGTCCAGCCCTGGTTGTGATGAGCATTTGGGGAGTGAATCAGGAAATGCAAGGTCTTTCTCCTGTTTCTGTCATTTGATCTTTCTCAGTCCCTGTGTGCTCATTCTCTGTGTCTCACTCAGCATTTCAGGACCCACCTTCATTTTTGTTTGTGCTCCTCAGAGCACCTAGCATGCTGCAGAACACAAAGGAAGCCTACAGGGAATGTCTGATAATAAATGTAGAGAATCCATAGTGTAACCATGAACAAATACAAAAAGGGAGTACTGTCCAACCATCTGCATTCAGAGGAAGGCTGGTCTTTCTATTTTTGCTTTATTAAATATTTATTTCTTCTTATTGGAAAGACAGATCTGCAGATAGGAGAGACAGAGCAAAAGATCTTCTATCTGCTGGTTGACTCTCCAAATGGATGCAATGACAGAGCTGAGCTGATCCAAAGCCAGGAGCCAGGAGACTCCTCTGGGTCTCCAACGCTAGTGAGGATTCCAAGGGCTTAGATAATTGTCTGCTGCTTTCCCAGGCCACAACAGAAAGCTTGATGGGAATTGGAGCAGCTGAAACATGAACTGGCACCTATGTGGGATGTCAGCACTTACAAGTGGAGGATTAGTTAACTGAGCCATCACTCTGGCCCCATGTGCCAGTCTTCTTAAATAATGACTTCTTTTCATCTATTTGGAGGGCAGACTAACAGAAATACTGACAGAAACATATCTGCAGTCCACTAGTTTGATCCCCAAATGTCCACAGCAGCTGGGGCTGCGATAGGTTGAAGCCAAGAGTTAGGAACTCCACCCGGGTGTCACACATAGATGGTAGGGACCCAAGCATATGAACCATCAGGCAGATGTCATTATTGGCTGTCTTAACAGGCAGCTGGATCAGAAAGCGCGCAGCTGGGACTCAAACGGGCTCTCCAGGCTTCTCCAGGCTCAAGCAGGCTTCCCATGTGATGTTAACCTGGTGCCACAATGTGTGCCTCTGCTGGTCATCATAAAAGAATGAGTGGCAAGGATGCGCTCACTCCCCAGGAACGACTCGGCCATTGAGAAGAGTGAGGCTCGGATTCTGCCTTGAGCTGGTTACAAACGGGAGCTCATCCTTTACCCCAGCAGAGTGGAAAAGCAGCAACAGCAATTCTCTAGCTAAAAATTCAAAACCGCAAACGCCACTCTCCAAACATTCAGGCCATGGTACAATCCCTTATCACCCTCACAGAACAAGCAAACATGCTACAATTCTTTAATTAAAGCAACCTCCTCCCATCTGTTCTTACACAAAGAATCAAACCGGGCTCAATAAAGAATTAAGTAGGATATGAAAACCTTCTCCCACAGTATTACAGCCTATTTATAATTCACAGGGAGGGGAGTTCTCAAAATAGCCTATTCTTGAACTGACAAAAATATCTTTACTCTGAAAGTTTTAGGGAAAAAAAAAATCTTCACGGAGCTGATGATCTTGAGATATGGCTGTGGTCCATCTTCATAGCTGCCCATCAGGGAGCTACTTTCCTGTTCTTTCTCATCAGCACCAAATACTGCCATCGTGACCTTCAAATCCATTACAAGGACCCTGCCCAGGGAATGAATGGAAGACCCAGATCTCCGCCTTATGCGGAGCGCTAAGCTGACTCAACACAAAATGGAGAGGGCTGGCATGGAACCAAAATCACTAGACTCAAACGCCCCAGTCATGCCTGGGGAAGCAACAAAGCATAGCTTAATATTCTTTCCTCTAGGACTTGGTCGGAGGTAGTTTGAGCTTGATAAAAACAGAGACTAAACTCATGAATGCTATATGTGATTCCTACCTGATCCTTGTCATAGGATATTATATTTACAAAAGACAAATTTAGGAACTATACTCACCCCGGTGCTGAGATTACCACTATTAACACAGCCAGCCAGACACGGATTAAAATATGTGATTCCATCGGATCCACAGACTGGCTCATACTCATGTATTTTACAGCCACAGTTCACATTACAACTTCCTGTCAGATTCCTGTGGGGCATGGTGAGGGAAGGTCTAAAGGAGAAAAGACGTCGGTCATCAGCAACATTTACCAAAATCAAACCAACAGGAGGGCCGTTCTTATTAGTTAGTCATTTGTCCATTTCAAAGAAGATAGTCCCATGAGATCAAAGCTATGGCACCACAAAGTCGTCATCTTCAGTAATGACCTTTATGACTTTAAAACAAAACAGCTTAGCTTTCTGAGATTATAATCAATATACTTTATCAAGTTGTCCATCTCATCACAATTTTGCCCACTCCTTTGGCACAATGGTCTCAGTGTCTGACCCTTGATAACCATTCACATGCTGGAAGCACTGGGCTGTATGTGTTAACTAAGCTGATCCTAGATTTCTTCTTACTTTTAGTTTTGCTTCATTTTAGTTAATACACAATAACTGCACACATTTATGGCTCCCAATGTGATTTTTATATATGTATATTGTATAATGATTCAATCATAGTGATTATAATCTTTCACCTCCAACATTTATCAGTTGCTTTATCTGTAAAATATCGCAAGTGCTCTTCATGACTGAATCAGTAACATTACTGTGAACAATAAACACAGAATCCATCCAGCTATCTCTGTAGGCTCCTGGGACCAAAAACTTTAACTATGTGCTAGAAAAATTATCTAAGTAGGATAAAACTCCAAAGGAAGTGATTGAGGAAGACTGCTAAGGAATCACATCACTGGTTTGTAATATGAGGGTATGTGGGTTTGGAGTCACAATGAAACACAGTGGATTTTGCTTTCTCAGGACATATCTGATCTAAAAAATGGTACAATATTTTAAATAAATAAATATAAATATAAGTATATATATATATTTATATATATACATAAATCCAGGCAGCAAACAAAATGAGGGAGAAAGGCAAGTGTAGACACAGCACTGGGGAGAGAAGTGTCCGAAGAGCAATGGAGGAACAAAGACAAACAGATCCTCTGAGAGTCCCCTGGAATAAAGTAACAGGCTGCATGGGGCTCACACTCATCAGTCTTTGCTTCTATGACCATGATCCCTACTCAGTCCCGATGAAACACTGTTTCTAAAGCTGCATGAGTAAGTGGTGGTAGACCCTTCATCCATCCATCCATCCATCCACCCATCCACCCATCCATTTATCCTTCCACCCATCTTTATCCACTCAGCAAACATTCTGGAACAACTGTTAGGTGCCAAGACTTAGCAGCATCTCCTCCAAAAGCATGGCCCACTCCAAGCATAAGTGAATTTACAGGGTATTATTTGTTGCAAAGTTTTTCTCCTTTGGCCTCTTTTACAAGCTGATAACTGGGCCCTGAAATTTTAATGGGAGACAAATTCAAAGCAATATGAAGTGCTACCCAGAAAGTCTTTCGCTAAGGCAAAAGTCAAATAGATGATGTCCTTCATTCATGTCAGTCCACAGAAATAAGCAGTCATTATGATGCTCATTATTTTTTAGTATCCAAATATTTTAAAGCCATGACCACATAAAATGGCAATTCAATCACTAACAATGTCAGGCTTCAATACAACCCAGTGCTTATCACCAGTGCTGTTTAGAAGCTACCTGGAACTTTCTGTTAAGCACATACTTTGTGCTTATGTTTGACAGCCAGATTTCAAATGTCCCAACTGTAGAAGCTGTCCAGCCAAAAGAAAGAAACCTGAAGGAAACAGCATCAGTGGCTCAAAGCACATGAGTAACAGGAAAACAAAAATGAATTCCTGATTCAGCAAACAGAGACACAGACTCAGTAACCCTCCTAAGAGCATGATGTCTGATAGAGATGATGTACGTGAAAATCAATGCTGGCAACAAGCACAAGTCACAAGGAAGAGAAATGAGTGTTCATGCAAAAGCAGCTGGGGGAAGGGTGATGGTGGCACAGAGAGGAAGAGGGCTGACTTGGCTCACCTTTTACACTTTAAAGGAACTTTAAAGGAAGTCTTTAAAAATTAAGAGGCAGAAAGAAAGAACAAGACAGGAAAAGAGAGCTCCCATCCTGTGTTTTCTTCCTCAAGCACCAAACCTGGGTAAGGCTGAAGCTTGGAGATCCAGGGACTCAATGAGGTCTCCCATAAGGGTGGCAGGCACCTGATGACTTGAGCCATTGCCGCCACCCTGCACAGTCCACCTAGGCAGGAAGCCGCAGGCAGAAACTGGAACTGAGCACCAAGCACAGTACTCTCATCTGGGACCTGGCTATCTCAATGAGAGATTTAAGAGCTAGACCCAATGCCTTCCCCCAAAATAATCTTTTGTAAGAAACTGTCTTGTTTGGTTGTCATTCATTCTCCTGAAAACAGACTGGTTTTTAATCATAGTGAAAATGTTGTACGCTAAGCCGTTTCTCACCAGCCTGAAGTGAACCCATCTTGGGAACAGAAAGCACACCAGGCCCTGCACTGCACTAATCCCCGTGCCTCACCTTCCTGAAATACAAAAGCATTTCAAACCAGAGACTTGTAAACTTGCCATGAGTGCAAACTCATGGCTTGAAGTAAGTATTAACTTCAAGGAAGCAGTGGGTCTCACTATCAAATTCCTTAGAACTACATGACCCAAGTGGCAAGCCTGCGAGTCACACATAGTATCTTATTACAACAATTAGGAAAATATAAAGAGCCAGAGAGAGGGAAGGAATCCCTGAAAACAGCTAGTGAATTTGCTAACTAGGAAGCTATGGAGATGCGAAATCTTTGTTACCCAAGCATTTGAGGGCTCAAGAAATCCCACTCTGGCAAGACTAGAAAAGAAATAATCAAGAAGAAAAAATAACCTTGCTGTCAAATCTTCATACAATCAAAATATTAAGAGTCAATGTTTATTTAAAGTGATGCATGACAGACTGTCACTCAATGTAAATAAACAATAGCTCTCAAAGCCCTATTAGAGCTGTGATGCGAGGACACAGTTAAGTAAATGTGTATATGCATGGGTGTGTGTGTGGTATACGGAGACATAGTTCACACGTGTCCCATCACACTACACCATGACCTGAAGACCACCTGAATTTCACCATATACTATCCTTTTATTGGTCTCCATAAATCAAAGAGGAGGTCCTTAACTTGTTTCTTCCTCCTTTTTGGCTTTAACCTATTACAAGGAGGCCAGCATTGTGGTGAAGGGGTAAAGCTGCCTCCTGCCACTGGCATCCCATATGGATTTTGGTTCATGTCCCAGTTGCTCCACTCCCAGTGAACTTCTCTGCTAATGACCTGGAAAAGCAGCACAAAGTGATCCAAGTACTTGAGCTCCTGCCACCTACATGGGAAACCATATGAAGCTCCTGGCTCCTGGCTCCTGGCTCCTGGCTTCAGCCTCCTGCCTTTGTGGATATCCAGCACTCAGGAAACAAGCCCTCAAATAGGAGATTCTTCTCTCTTTCTCTGTGTGTGTGTGTGTCTCCAATTAGAATATTTCCTTTCAACTCCACTTAAGTTGTTGACTTCATACTAAAATTCTTCCTTTGCTCTGCAGAACTAGGCAATTTTGGGTTTGTAATTATGATCATTAGCATGATAATCATCACTGACATTTAAAATCGGCACTAGCAGAACCTTATTCTTACTTCATAAATTGTGCACTGAGATCTCCACATAATTTCTCATTCACTCCTGATGAGGATTATAATTACTACTGCTGTGCCTCCATCTTTCAAATGAGCCCACGAAAGACTTGAAAGAACAAGTACTGCCCAAGTTCACATAGTTAGTAAGATTCAGAAAAGGGGTTATATCCACTTTTATCTGTCTCCATGTGGATGCACTTACACACCTATACCAGCACATCTGCTTTGCATAGGGTCATAATTTTGCTTTCTCTAGCAGGACTCTTCTGGTAGCTCCTCCTATGAGCTTCTTCTTTCTGGAGAAAGCGATAATGCAATGTTTCTATCACTCAGCTTTCAGTGATCCTGAGCAATTAAATCGAAGAGGTCTAAGTTCAATTCCATCTCCACAATTCACAGGCACTATGAACTTCAGGTTTCCCATCATAAACAAGAGATCAAAACGCCTGTGTCGCTTAGATGTTGGGATTAGGTGTCTAACGTGTTCTGCTCCAGACACGAAGGTCATGAAGACGTTCCGTGCTCTCCTTATCTGCACATGGCAGAAACATTCATGAAGAACAGTAACATAATCACGAACTTGAAGAGACAAAAAGCAAGAAGTCATTTCTAAGGTACTCCTACCAAGAAGTGGTAGGAAAAGCATGAGAATGAGATGTCGTTTCAGGCCACCACTTGACAGGTGCATAACCTTGGACCAACTCCTTCAGTCCATCACTAATAGTCTCCCTGCCTACCTGAGAGGAGAGCAAAGATGATCCAAGAAGGAAATACATTATAACGTGTGAAAGCCTAGGTGGACTGGAGGGCTACGTTCATGGAAGGTGACAACAGTATCCAATCGTTGTATTGTTAAAGCCCCCTTCACTACCAGGTCAAATGTCAACCCATGGAATCATACATTGTACTCACAGCTAGAAACGTCTCTAATCCTTTTAGTAAAGGTGACTCTCACATTCTCAAAATACATAAACCTAAAACCCTTCTGGAAAACTTTTCTCTTCAACTTCCTGTAGTTTCTTCTATAGTTAATAAACCTGTAATACCTAAAACATTCTTCACTGCTGAGAAAGGCTCCCCAGATTTCCCGATCATGCTGTTCTCCCAGCCTCCTGCCGATGTGAGCATCAGACAGCTATGACTCCCTCCCCTGCCAGGTGGCCCTATGGAACCTTCAGGCCATCGGCCCTGCCAGTTGCTATAGTGCCACAAATCAGCAGCATCAACTAGACTGGGGACTGACAGAAGAAGACACCCGGGTCCTGGTCCTGCCTGTGATGGTTGGAGGAGGTCTGGGGCCAATGACCAGAGTCTACAATATCAAGTTCTGGTTTAGGTTGGCCAAGGTGACCTACAGTCCTGCCCTGCTTTGGCATCATAATAACCAAAAGACTTTGCAGGGTCCTGGGGTGGTGGCTCAGTAACACTGCTTTAGACATTAA